CTTTTTAACTTGAAAAACTACAAAGGAGGGGGGGGGGCAGCAAGCGTCATTACAGAAGCAGATAGCATTGGTTAATTTATTTTGTTCTTTACATTTATTGGGTCCCTATGATGTAGAGTGTGTAGGAATGCGGAGGTTTTCCACTCATGGGCAAGGGGAGAGGAGGGTACTCTGTGTCAACACCAGGTGTTTTTTCTTCCAAGGGACAGAAGATAATTTTCTGTCCCTCCTGGCGTCTCCTCCTTTCCGGGCAATCTCAAAACTGCTTACCTATGGGTCAGAGGTCAACTGGTTTCCACAAGAAACCTTATTTTCACGTTTCCACATATTGTTGAATAAGTCATATTACGAAAAGCATTCAAAAATTTTGATTAAATCTTTACTAAAGTACCAGTTGTATTAGTCTCAGAAATTAAAAGAACATTCTAAACTTCTTGGAAGCACGCTCATGTGCACTTGCACACACACACACACACACACACACACACACACACTTGCACATGCGCACACACACCCAAGCATGAATAAATAAATAAAGTATACTAAAGAAAGAGCTAGGTCTAAGCAGAACTCTATCTAGATACATCACCTGAGAATGGTGAATCCCTTAGATGATCAGCTGTGTTTTACCATGAGCAGGTAAAGAAAATTGTATTTGCTTGCAATCATTATTTCACACTATGACCATTATTTCACAGTAGGACTCTGAGAGAATTTCTTGAGTGCTAGGATTCAGTTGATCCAGTCTCCCTGTGTCAGCAGCACAGAAGACCCAGTCCAGATTTCAGAAACTCCCCAGAACACTCACAGAGGCCCTAGGCAACTGCACAGCACACAAGAGTTGCTGGAGTGTCCACTGGTTCCAGGGTCTTGCTGTCCCATTCAAAGAATCAGATGGGACAATCAAAGAACCTAAACATGCAATGTTTGTTAAAGTATAGGAAAATGACAGAAAAGAAGTGAAGAAAAAGTGAAGCATGAAAAGAAGTTAAAACAGTGAAGATACGCACAACATCTGGATGGACCCCTGCAAGGGCAAAAGGGCAGCAGTTCCCTGGAGCTAGTGATCCCTGTCTTTTATATTCTCTTCTGGTATCAGATCCTGGCTATGATCTGACAACTGTCCATGACTGACAGGGTATACCCTATTGTCCAGCCTCCTTGCCATGTCCTAATTGCTCAACTCAATGGAGACTTGCTCCAGAGGCTCAGTAGGAAGACAACAGAACTCATACTACTGATACTTTTGTTTTCTCATCTCTACACCAGCCTGGGGCATCTGGAGTTCTGTAGGCTCTGCGGGCACCTTCAAGTCTCTTGATTTTGTTTTGTGTGACTCCAGACCCCCACATAAAGCCAGAGATAATTGCCTGTAAGGAAGAAGATATCATGCTTTCCATATATGTATTCTGGCATCAGCCCCTCAAAAGAAAGATTACAATCTACAAGAAAGGGACAAGAAGGAGAGAACTTTGTCATAAATTTGATCCTTGACACCTTCTCATATTTGTTATGCCCACCTAATTCCATTGTGATACAGACATTAAAATGCAATAAAAATTTATTTCAGCATTTTCAAAAGGAAGAACTGATGTTGACATAAACTTTGCAGTTCTTCACCCTGGGAACACGGTCACTGCCTCTGAATATTTACTTAGTTCTGGGGCAGATCTGTTATTTTTCTGTCATTGCTCCTCACTAGACAGGGAACAGTCCTTGGAGCAGGGTTTTCCCAAATCCCTGAGCATTTCTTCCAAAGTCCAGTGTCTTCTCCTTGGAACAATACCCCACTTGGGAGATCTGCACCACAGCCCCTCCAAGGATTCTCTGGGTGGGCTGGAACAGAAAGGAGGCTCCTTGTTTATTTACCTTGTCCCGTCTTTCCCATCTGTGCATCTCTCTTCCTCTTGTAGGAAGCCAAACATTCTTGGCCACACTAGAGAAGATTTGGGAGATTCTGTCTCATGTAAAGCCTCTAATCATATCATAGACTCTGAGCAGGGAGCAGCTGGGCCCTGAGGAGTTGGAGGGGTTTTTGTTGTGGTCTGTATCACTGTGTGAATGGAATACTGCTCCCCTGCTGACAGTAATAGGCTGCAACATCTTCAGCCTCCACACCGGAGATTGTGAGGGAGTAAGAGGTCCCAGAGCCACTTCCACTGAAGCGAGCTGGGACTCCAGAGGCCCGGTTTGATGTTCCATAAATCAGGAGCTTTGGAGAGTCTCGTGGCTTCTGTTGATACCAGTGCAAGTAGCTGGTGCTTACACTGGAGCTGGCTGTGCAAGAGATGGTGACGGTCTGCCCTAGGGAAGCAGGCAGGGATGCTGGAGACTGAGTGAGCACAATTTGTCCATTTGACACTGTGATCATGTAGAAGGAATGAAAAGAGATTGAAGTTAGTAAAATGGAGACACAGGGATTCATGCCACACAATACACAGAAATAATAACCAAAACCTCCCTTAATCTCAACTTCTATGGCTAAAAAGAAGCTCAGTTTTGAGGTTTTTTTCTTTCTTACCTGTGACACTGAGCAACAGGAAGGTGAGAATTTGAGCCTGAAAATCCATTGTGTTTTGGAGCTCTCCCTCAGGCTAAACAGTTGTTTTAAAATGACCCCTTAAAAAGAACTCTGAACAGTTTGTGGTTTCTGAGCTTGTAATATGCAAATCAGCAGGGTGTGGACACTCCCTGGCTTATACACTCATGTGGTACTTCAACTTTTTATTTTTTTATAAAAGTTAGAAATTGTTGTAGGAGAGGTAAGTGTTGAGTCTTCTTTTCTGAGGTGATACATATTCATTGTCTAGAGCATTGTGTAAGTAATTCTGTGGTGATATTAATTTGCCGAGGCTAGCAAGGATATTTACCCTGGACGGTATGTAAGGTGCATTTTCTGTGAATAAATATCTGGTAAAAATTACTATTTGAAATGTCTATCAGAAAATCCTAACCCCAACAGATCTGCCTCTTCTTTCCCTGGGAGCTGCTCCCCTGAGACTATGCTCATCCATCATACCCACAAAGTCTAGGGAAAACTTCCATTGTAACATGTGATCGGGAAAGTAGACATCTTCAAGGATGTTTATAAAATGCTCAAACACAGTTTCCATCTGGAGCAGAGAAACCATCAGAAAGTCAGGCAAAATAAATCTTTCTGCCTGAAAATGAAGGAATCTCAGTTATTGGCTCATCAATCTCAATTTCTCTAGTACTCTTCCCCAAGCTCGGGTTTACAGGAAGCTTGGCTTTAGAGATCTCAAACACATACTCATAATAAATAAGTGCTGTAAGGCTTGAATCAGACATGACAGTCCCAGCAGCCATCCTGTTTGCTAGCAGATGCATTGTTCTCAGTATCGGCTCAGCTCTGCACCAAGGCTGTCCTCAGCAAACATGAGATGTCATAAAAGAGATAAGATGGGACAAGGCATCTCGCAGGTCCTTGGACATCTGGAGACACCCATAAATTCACACCAGATGCCTCAAGGACTCTGTCCACTGAGGTGAAAGACACCCAGAGAACTTTGACCACTGAGGTTCATTGACATCTTCTCACCTAATGTCACTTGTCTTCTTTCAATCCTTGTTGTCTATGTTTTATATGTTCAGTTGTGTAATTACTTCAAATTCTTACTTCAGAAAAGTAGCACAGATGGTGGCTTACCTCATAAAATACAGATAATCTCACAGTGGGGACAATTTGAAGGTCAAGGTCTCATGGGGCTAAAATCTAAGCTGTTTAAGAGCAAGAGCTCTGCAGAGCTGAATAGAACTCTTGTCACTTTTGGTCAATATTATCATACACATTTTATGCATATGTCACAACAAAAATCTGATGATATATGTTTTTATCATACTGCCCTACAAATGATTGATAAGAAACAGCTATTAAACACCACTTATAAGTATAGTCTTCAGCTAAATTTAGGGTTTTTTGTATATGTGTGCAGGGGAATGTCATGATAAAATGTACCAAATATGTTTCAAGAAATCAAGGAAATGTCAAGTGTACAGTATTATAGAAAACTGAGGATTTTGACAGGACCACATTATCAAAGATAAATAACCTGAAGTGAAATAATACTTTAAAAATGCAAACATATCATGTGGAAGTTATATATGTCTTATCAACATAAGTGAAACATTAGATCAATTTTGACAAATAATATAATCCTATAAGAAATATATTTTCTACAGAAAGATTGTGAATTTCAAGAAAAATACAGTGTAACATTCAGATTCAACAATAAAATTAAAATACTACACATAAAATGAATTAATAGGGCTTTTGGTATAGACTAAAAAGGAAAGCAAATACAAAACGGATTGGTAATAAGATACAGAAATGTAGTTAGAAAGAATAAAAATAATTGTGGACACTTAGGGTAAAAATAGGATAATAGTAGAAGAATAGAATTGAGAAAAGACCTTCCGAATATAGAATGAATTCAAGAAAATTATAGATGTAGAAAGCAGACAACCAATGTATGTGCATAACTGATATGTTTTAATAAATTAGACATTGAAAATAAAATACAATGATGTAATAATAATGCTGACCATATATGTAAGTATACTTATGTCAAACCATTCAATCACAATAAGAATACATAATTATATACTTATGCTAGACATGAATATTCAACATAAATCAAAGCAATTGTAAAATGTTTAAGTGAATATCTATCCAACTTGGTATTTGCAGAGACTAAGCCAGAAGAAAAAAGAATTCTAAAATCAAATAAATACAAATATAAAAAAGAAACAAAATAAGGTTTGCAAGTAGTTCTAAAATCAATGTTGAAAATAAACTATACATTGTAGCAAATTAATACATAGGAAAAGTAAAAGAAATCATCCACAACAATGAAAGATAACCCATGGAATGATAATAAATGTACAACTAGTTTTAAAAAATAAATCAAAGAATTAGACATCATCACAGTTACAAATTATTAATCTGCCAAAAACTCCATTAAGAAAATAGTACAAATTTTATAGGTTTACTGAGCAATCAAGCAAATGAACTTTTGGACAATTACCAGAAATCAGATGTTATTTCCATATAGAAATTTGGTCATAAATGTTCATAGAAGTTTTCCTCATAAAAGCCAAATTCAAAGATGTATCTTCATGTTTTTTGGCAGGTAAAAAGTTAAATATACTGTTTTGCACCAATAGCATGACCTGTTACTCAGCAATGAAATGTAGCAAACTTGATATATTCAACTTAGGTAATAAACCTCAAAGATGTCATGGGTAATAAAGTAAGCTGATCTCAACATCACACCTACTGCATGATGTGTTTTGTTTTGTATGCTGAGGACTGAACCTTGGCACATGTTAGGAAAGGGGTCTACCACTGAACACCAGGCTGTTGATATGCTGCCTTTTATGCAGTGATTACCAGAGGGTGGAAATAGAGAAGCAAAAGTACACGTGCTGTAAAAGTTGTCCAGGAGCTGTGTGGTGATGGTTCCACTGAGTATTTTGATTATAGCAGTAGCTACATAGGTTGCATAACTGATAAACTCTCACAGAGGTACAGACACACACACTCAAGCACACACTTACAAATACAAAAAACAGTGCATGTGCAACTTGTGAAAACTACATAAACTCTATGGATTGTACCTGTTTGTCTTAGTTATTGTTCTCTTGTTGCTGAGGCTAAATATCTGACACCAAAAATTAAATGAGGAAAGTTATACTTAGTTCACAGTTTGTAGAGGTTTCAGTCCATAACTGGATGGCTCCATGGTAGGGTGGGATGGCACAAAGACATGTAGGAAGAAAAACAGTCCATGGTACACAGAAGGTATCAAAGCAACAAGGGACCTTAACAGCATCTTTCTGCCCCCTTTATTTTATCCAAGCTACTCAGGGAAAATAGCATTCACACTCTTAATCCTAGGGTCCTTGAGCTTAACATTGCACCTTCAATGAATTCCACTGTCACACACTATAGATCGAGCCACCTCTGAAAAAGCCCCACCCATGACTGCATGAGATTTTGCTGGGATTCTAAACACCAGCCATAAAATTCATCCCTTGGACCCCTAAGGACTCATGTATCTCCCTTTATGCAAAAAGAATTTAGTCCAACTCTTAGAGTTGCCAAAATCTTAGCAGTTTCAACATTGCTGAAAAGTCCAAGTCCAAAACCTCCTTGAAGATTTAAGGCAAATTCTTAGCTGAAAGCCTCTACATAAATGAAAAGAAAGTTAAATTCTTCAAATATTTAATGGCAAAAGATAAAAATTACAATTCTAAAAGGTACAAATTGGGGGAATACAAGGGAATGGGACCGAAGCAAGTTTAAAATCAGCAGGGCAAACATTAAATCCCACAGTTCCACTTCCAGCATCCCTGGCAATCTGTGGCAAACTGTGAGCTCCACAGGTTTGGGTGGCTCCACCCCTACAGCAGTTCTGGTGTTGCAGTTGCCTTGGCGTCTCTCTTTGGCTGGCTCTCCTCCTTCTCTGCAGTTTTCCTTAGACAATCGTTGTTCCTGGATTTTCGGGGGTTTTTCAGGGTTTCCACTGTCCTTTTGCCTTCACATTCACAGCTTCACACACAGTGCACTATATAGCAGCCCAGGACTTCTCCTGAAATCTGTGTGGAAGCCATCCTGTCCCCACAACTCTTCCATTCTGAATGCACCTAAAACCAGCACCACATGAATGATCCCAAGGTCTGTTGACAGCTGGAGAAGTAGTCAATGCTTTCTTCTCTTTTGGGTGTAGGGGTTGAGTGCCTGGATTGCTGAGTAGTCGATCCCAATCCTGAGGAATAAATTCTCTAGGCCATTGCCATTCTGGAACATGGGGAACTGGGGGCTCTCTTCTGAAAGCAAAGTCTTTCACTTTAGCAATTTTGAGGCTGTAAAGGGTGAAGTCCTGCTGGTTCTTGTGATGGCCTCAGTTCATCTTTTTCATTCTCTGGTAGCTTCTCAGCAATCTAGATCTCCTCTGCTCTATTTTCAGCCCACAGCTTTACTAGAGCTTCCTTCTGGACAAACTCATAACATTTTGAACAATTTTTTTGGACTTTTTGCTCTTGATTCTCAGCATAAATGTGGCTAAAAGTCTCCAACAGTAGCCATGCCACAACCTCATTAAACTGCCTTGAGATTTCCTTTGCCAGATTAATTAGTCCACCACCCTTAATCTCAGTCTCAGGCAAAGTCTCTAGATTTGATGAAAATGTACACAAATTTTCTGCCAAGACATAACACACATCATCTAGAGTCCAACAGCCAATGGAGTCCTTCTTCCCAGCAGAAACCTCCAAGCCTGGTCTTCTGAGCGCTGACCAAAATCTCCCATCAACTACAGCCTCAGGGATTCCAGCTCTAGTTTTTCAGCCAGTATCTCAGAACCTTTTCCAACTCACCCCCCTCCCTCAAGTCAGCTCCAAAGACTCCTAAACCACTTGGTGATGCACAGACTGACTTGTAGTACCAAATTTTGCCTTAAATCATTTTTTAATTGCTGAGACAAATTATCCAACACCCACAAGTTAAGGGAGGAAAGATTTGTTTAGCCCACGGTTTGTACAAAATACTGAGGGCAGACCACGCTTCTTAATCTTTTCTGGAAACCTGCAC